AACTCAATGTGGGTAAATACATGATAAATAATTAAAAGAACGTATAAAAATGTTCTGGGTTGGGTTTTTAAACTTATCTGGATTTTAGTCTGTTTAATTTTTTTAAATACGTGTTAAATACTCCCCAACTTAATGAACTCTTTTACAACACGAACACACAGCATGTAAAATTTGCATTTGCAAAATGTATTTAAGATCGGCAATTCGTCTTTCATTTCTTCACTTATTTAAGTATGTTACTGGTGAACCATCATTAACGCTTGCATGGAAAAATATTTAATTCGTAACTTAAAATGACATTTTTAATAACGGGATTAAACTATATGTTTAATCATGGTTTATACTGTTTTTACGTTAAATGTAACATGATGTAACGTACTTGGTAATTTTTAATCCGTAATAAGTTTACAAAAACTACAAATTTCGTACATTATTTGTTTGATGAATTTTTGATCCTGTTAAAAATAACGGCTTAAAATGTTTTCAACGCCCTTTGGTAAATAGGTCACTTTTTACATGAGAGGTGGAATTAATGAGACCTTCAACAGAGTCCAGTATCAAAGTCGTCTGATGATGATATTCATAAACAGGCCCTCAAAGGTGGAGCAGTGAAGTTTCTCGACTCAATTAAATTAGGTTTTCAAAGCAGCTTTGAAATAGTAAAACCTATGTTGTTTGGTGTTGAAAAGTATATATTTTAAATTCATCTAATTTAAAATATCTTAACAATTTGTGTATTTAAAATTCTGTGATGAACCTTGCATCTTAAAGTTTTTATTGTTGTTTGAGACAAGATATTTAAAAGAAATGTAGTTTCTCCTACATAGTAGCATTGACTATTTGATACTAGTCCCTGTAATTTATAAGGTTCATTGAAATCAGTATGTTTGTACTGGAATTGTGTGTCTGTAGACACGTTAACTTCCTGATTCTCTGGTCTTAACGAAAGTTAGATGAAATGTGTAAAATAAAATAACATCAATACGTATGAGTTCTCTAACCAGACTGATCCGACCATTCAATACCTAATAGTTTTTAGGTGTGTATAAGGTATGAATTGATCAAACTGATATTCATTTTACTTGCATTGGTTGGCTAGATATTTAAACGTTCTAAACGTATTCTCTGTATCCTTTAATGTAGGGAATGCTGAAATCTAATACAGTATATCCTAGGTTTCATAAGTTTACAGAATCAAGCAAATTTAAACATTATATTGTAAACTTTTAAATATTAACAAACACAGCCATTATTATGTTCCTCATAACTAAGAAAACCACTACACATTGAACAGGATGTTTATTGTGTTTGACGTGGGTATTTAATTAGTTTTACAATGAACCTGTTTCTATAACAAATTTATTACATCACAAATTTCAAACTAAAAGAACTAAAAAATCCCTTTGTACTCAAGTTTGGTTATGCAATCACGTCATGCGAACCGTCAATAATGTTAGAGTCATTGCTTCTCCAGTCATTAGGTTTCAAATTGATTCTTATTAATTCGGTACAATAGTACAGTGAGTTAATAATATTTGAGTGTTTTAGCGAATTTCCCATATAGGGAATAAGCTATTTGTACATTTACAATGTTATACATTTAAACTATTTAAATAAAATGTTTAACAAACTAGGGGATGCGCACTGATTAGTGGTAAAGATATAAATTTTGTTAAAATTTATAAGGGGGTGTTCAAAAATCCGTACTCGTTCAAAAGGTTGAACTTATTTTAAATTTTCAAACAAACACATAGGGTACTGTACGATCCATATTTTGAAAATTGCCCAATAAGTCAAAGCTGGCCAAACATCAATGGTAATTGCTTTAAAAAGATTTGTGACGATGCTTTGGCCCAGTGAATTTGAGCCCACATTACGCCCCAACCATCGATGTATTATACTATTACCATAGTATTATACACCGATGGCTCCAACCCACTTATTAGGTCCACTTATTGAGAAAACAATTATAGGAGTCTCGGGCGATGATATCTGTTGTTTTTTTTCGGGAGAACCATCTTTGAAAGTTATTCATTAGTTTTCTAAAAATGTACATCATGTGTCAAATGTACAGTGTCTCAATTGTAATAGTGGTGGGCTACTCAATTCACGTTTTACCCCTCTTTCAAATACTTTCAGCTTGTTTCCCTTAATTAAAAGAAAAATTATCTTTGCTAATAAATGCTTTGATTAGAAAATAATGTTTTACATACATTACTACTAAGAATAACCTTAGCCAATAAAGTGTTTACACTAATACTTAAAATACTTAATTACTTTTGTTGTCTATATGCTTATAGCTTAAAATTGTTTATATAGTTCATTGTTGTCGCGTCACCTCTAAACAGTATTGTATCCAGAGAAAGAATGGGTTTTCAATAAACAATAGGTTCACGAACCTGCAGTGGCTTTCATAGACTGTCATAGAAGGAACAAAGCCTTGTGTATGTTGAGACTGAAGAATTACATTATGTCATGGACGGTATACGTTGTGTACTTAAATAACTATGAGCTTGATAAAAAAAAAAAATATATATATATATATATATATATATAAATATATATTCCTGCCTGCTTTTTAGTCAAAACACCAACAAGGTAATAAGTACCTACTTTTTTTCTTGTCTGGGGTTGAAGGCAGAAGTTTATTTTCTTACAGTAACCATTAATATTTATTAGGAATATGTCTTCAGTCAGCGTAAAAAATTTTTAACATGAGGAGATCGGTTGGTCTAGTGGTTAAAATTCTGGACTTTCTAAGACACTCTTGTAGAGTAATCGTTAATAAACGGTTTTAGATAAAGAAGATAGCAAAAAGGAATGATAGAGGCAAGTTTCGTTTCGCCAGAAACGGAAAAAATATGTAACAATCATAACGACTACACGTTTCAGGTTTGTTCATGGCTATGCATGTAACAATAAAAAACTGCTACCATTCTCAGACTTAAAAGTTATTCTTTGGTAAATATTTAAAAACCTGTTTTAAGTTTATTTTCCAGTTAAGATACAAAAGATGATTGGATGACGATGATCCTGTAGCGGACTTTGGAGATTCTAATGATTTCCAAATTTTAGAATAATTTTATTTGAATGGGTTTTTGTTTTTTTGCTAAAAAAACTTACTTTAATATTGAAGTCCTCCAAACAACAAATAAATAACAAAATGTAATATCATCGATTATAATTATATTATTACTGTAGCGTTTCTCTGAAAGCAGTTGTGTTCATAAATATACCTCTTACAAGGGGTTGAACTTATTTTAAATTTTCAATCAAACTCATACTGTACAATCCATATTTAGATAATTGCCCAATAAGTGGACGGTCTAGTCATTCTTTGATCATGCGTTTTTCACAATTTATCACAGTAATTTGAGTTTATAAAAAAATGTCTATTCATAATGTCTATATTGGACAGATATGGTTTCGTGTATGCAGAATACAAAGAAAGCGTGTCGCAAAATAATGCGTTTGTCAGAAGAAGGTTGCGTGCATATGAGAAGTTTTCAAATGAGAATCCTCTCCAAGTTCCATTTGCTTCAACGAAACCAATGCTAGTATAAATGTATCAAGCTAAACCTATACAAAGCTGTTTGGTATTACAAAATATATTACCTGCCACTCGACTAAATTTATTACTTGACTAACGTTTCGTTAATTTTAAGGTAAAACAAGAACAGACTTTCTTTTTTAATGAAAATTCTTGTTTGGAAATGTTACTAATTTCATTAGTATTAGATTACAGGTATTAGATTACATAACAATTTTTTTAAGTATTAACTACTTATGCTTCAGTTTTAGTTCCTATCAATTAGACGGTTCGTTGTAAAACTACGTGAACATATGGATTCATCTAGAATTCATTTTATTTACGTACTTTAGAAAATAGGAGTTCGGTTTTATTTAATGACAAAGATTTAACCTGAATTATTCGTTAATTTTTACAAAATAAAATAAGTAAATCGAGGAGAATGACCCCTTTAAAGTAAATATGTAATGATTTAAGTTTACTTTAAACGTATCAGTGGTAACTCCTCTTCCCTATTGCAAACATAATCTAATCTATTTCTAAATGTCACTAGGTTTTTAGAAAAAGGTTTATATTGTAACTTAAAACCAAAACATAATTTTTCCATTCAAAAGAGAGAAATGTTGAATAATAAAATATGCAAGACAGCATAAACAACAAGTAGATTTCAAAACAGCAAGAAATAAGATAATGAATTCATCAAGTGGTTTACAAGGGACCAAACGAGGCAATGCGATCTAATGATGCTGCTTGTTCTGTTATCATTTTCTTCTATCAAAGATACGTCAACAGTTTGTAGAGAGCAACGACCTCAACTTGTGTAAAACAATCTATGTATAGGCTCATTTGCGGCATTGCAATTAGAATTTATTTTTTTAATGATTCTAGGTATTAAGTGTTTTCTAATTTTGCAATATTGCTATTTTGTTAAATAGTCTCAGAGAAAAAAATTGTTTACTTAGTACGAGTACTTGGTACTACAACAGGTAAAGTCAATGACTATTATACAAAGAATAGTATCAAATTAGAGAGGTTTTAAAAATTTTCAAATAGCAAATCTTTTGTAAACCGAAAACCAGTTAATCCATAAAACAGGAAACAATATACCAGCTAAGCAGTAAAATAGTAAGGTTATTAAAAACTATGAATTTATAAATCCGTTTCTAGGATTGCATGGGATGAAACGTATCTTAAAACAGTTTCATGTTCGAAGGATGATAGTTCTGTAAAAGAGAAGTTGATCAATACCAAGACGACTTAACTATCCGATTTTATGTTAGTTTCATCTTCTGCAAAGCTCATTCAATCATACAACGATAGTAGGTTTGTAGCATTAAAGATTTTGTAGTTTCTAATATCACTTTATTTTCGTTTGGTTTGATATTAAATTGTAGACACAATATAAATGATTTTACAGCACGCTCTATCAATTTACATTCTACTTTTCGCGTTCTAAAACTGACCTTATTTTTTACTGGGGAATACATAATATACTCGGACTTACCTTCTTTTCCTGTTTTTGAGCTTGATCGTTTGTGGATTTGCAGGCACACACCTGAAAAATGTATAATATATTAAATAAAAAAAGCTCATATACTAAAATTACTATAAACTACTATTATTTTGCATCCTGTGGAAAATAGCTTCATTGCTATATGGATTTTATCAGTTATACAGACTGTCCCAAAAGTCCCGGACCGGTTTAATATTTCCTAAACGACAACAGATAAATCAATAAAATTTTGCACATCAACACCACACTTAAAAACCTACTTTTTTAAGGAACTATCAGTTTTCTGTCATATCATGGGGACGTCCCACGAGGAGTCAGAAGGAAATCTTAAATAGGAGCATAGGTCAATATGCACATCAGTTTAAAGGGCTTAGCTAGCAGAGTTCAATGCCGGAAACCGCGCCTCGAAAGGATCACCCGTTACAAAATGGTGGCCGTTCAAAGATTTCTTGAACCTGCCATTTTGAATCTTTGAACGACTGCCATTTTTTACTCAGGCGTTCTTTTGAGCTTGAATTTACGGCATTGTAATCTACTAGTGAAGACCTTTAATTTGATGTGCATATCGACCTATGCTTACGTTAAAAAAATTTTCTGACTCCTAGGGCTGTGCCCCCAAATGCAAATTAAATGAATCTTTGAACCACTGTTACTCTTGACTTGGTTGTCCGTTTGAGTTCAAATTTGCAGCATTATATTCTACTAGTAAAGACCTTTAATTTGATGTACATGTCAACCTATGCTTCTATTTAAGATTTCCTTCTGACTCCTTGCGGGACGTCCCCATGATGTGACAGAAAATTTATATTTCCATAAAAAAGTAGATTTTTAGGTGTGATGTTGATGTACCAAATCTTGTTGATTTATCTGTTGTCGTTTAGAAAATATTAAACCGGTCCGGGACTTTTGGGACAGTCTGTATATTATAGCTTCTTTAACCAACGATGCAACTTATTAATCGCACTAATATCAATCGGCTGCGGAGTACGCTGCGCCAGTATGGAATGCATCGTCACATGCAAAAAAGGTTGACATTGCAGTTAATGACATGGCTCGGATTGTAACTGGGTGTTTGAAACCAACCCCAGTACACAAACTCTATCCTATCATAGGGATCGCCCCTCCATCAATCCGACGTGGTGTCGCTGCCGACGTAGAAAGACTAAGCAAGAGACGGGCCCTCGTCACCCATTACACGGCCACCAACCTGTAGAGCGACGGCTACGGTCCAGAAAGAGCTTTCTATCACGGACACGAGTTCTGGATGGATCCACTCTCAAGCAATCGGGTGGCAAGGGGGGGCCAGGTTGATTAACCCTCCCATACTAGCCAGGGAGGAACTGGCTCCTGGTCCTACATTACTCGGTGTGGAAGCCCCTAAATCGATTCAGGGTTGAGGTACCAAAATGCAAGACAAACATGCCGAAATGGGGTCTCTTACCAGACGAAGAAAACATATTGTGTGCGTGTGGTGCTGTTCAGGATCCTGGCCATCTGCTGATCTGCCCACGCCTAGACCAGTCTTGCACAATAGATAATCTTTTACAAGTGGATGACAAAGCCATATCGGTAGCTAATGTTTTTTTACAAAAACGAAGTCTAATTTCCGGACACGGAGTCTTGAGTCTCCGAGTGGGTTGCGCAACAGTCCCCCGATTAGTCGGGCAACTGTTGCGCGACTCAAAATCGCCTGTGTGCGCCTGGCCTACAGTACTAGTACGATAGAGACAACTTAAACCAATAAATATAACATTGATGAAAATACTGCATGTTGGTTTGTCAAGGGCAGAAAGGTAAATATTACAATTTAACTGTTTATTTAAAGAGTGATTCTAAAGGGTCTCTTTTCAAACTAAGTTGGCTTGCTAAGTTCAAGGTTTTATAAAGACAGTAGATCCTAGTTTACTCATTGACACGTTGTCGATAGCGCATTGTAGAGCCTGACATTGCTTTTAGCTTTACTCGTTGTGCGATGCGTCTGTATTGTTTTTCCTAGTAGAAAGCTAAAAGCTTTTACAATTGAAATAAAAAAAATAAGATAAAGTAGGTTAAAATTGAGGTACATAAGTGTTACTATTTATGGTAAAATGTTTGGTCGGAATCCTCTAGGCGTCTGCAGTCCGCACAGGCTTCACCTATGTATAGAACATTCCAGGCTATCAACAGTTTGCAATGTTTATTTTATATTTTTTATTTTATTTGAATGCAATGCAAATTTATTCTGGCTAGGTTTGAATCATTATTTTATTTGCCGTACAATTTGTTATTTTTTTAACATAAAGTATAACATGTCGAGGAACGTGCCAAATACAACCCTAACCTAGACAACCTTGCTTTAAGGGAGCCAGGGAACAGATTCTGACGTCCTAACATTTTCATCGGAAAAAACGAAATTTTTTCTTAGTACTTGTTTGTAGTTATTGTTATTCAAATGTTGTCCACTCTCTTTACTTTAATAATATTCAAATTACTTATCCGCTTTAATGTTAACAAAGTTTTGTAAAAATGTAAAATACACATTTTTCGTTTAGTGGAAAATCAAATTATTATAAGGTCTACTAGGTGGTGGTTCCGAAACATGAAGTGTCAATACGTTACCATTTAACTCCTTGAAAACACACATGGGAGTCAGGCAATCGTGCAATGAATATTAAACTGAAATAATTAACTTTAAAAACCATTTCTCTGCCTGCATGTTATATTTGATCATAAAAATATGTTATGGTGTTTTCGCTTTATATAAATAATAAATCGAAGCACTTTCACAATTTATAAACTTTGACTGTTTTATAACGTTTTAGGGCGAATATTAACCCTTTGGGCTAATGTATTGACATTAGACATAAACCTATGTTGTCGAACAGTATAAACTTTACAAAAATAGGCTATAGAGAAAATTATTATTATATGTAGCTTCTTGTTCAATATTAATTTGTCCTTTTGACAAATTTCGTAGATATATTTATGTCACACTTCACGGGACAAGAAACATAACAGTTCAAGTTTACTTTTGCTGTTAGAATTTACCGTGTTGGTATATGTAGTACGATTTTTCAGTATTAGGAGAAGACTTGAAACGTGTGGTGGTTTCTTAAGGTCTACTAGGTGGTGGTTCCTAAACATGAAGTGTCAATACGTTAGCATTTAACTCCTTCTAAACACACATGGGAGTTAGGCAATCGTGCAATATTTAACTCTACTACCAGTAAAAGTTTAACCGTTACGTAAACAAACTCGGATACATGTACATCGTAAAATACATACAAAACAAAAGTCTGTATTTTAAAAAAACGGGGGTTTGCATTTGTAGTGTGTATACTAAAATCGGCATCGCCAAAAGTAAATTAAGCTGAAAAATGTACTCAGAAAGATTTAAATAATGTATATGTTTCTAAAATGTAGACAAACTTAACTTGTTCGAGTAGGCTACAAGCAACCCCTTTGAGCATAAAGTCATGACATTTCTCAAAACTAATCTAATAAACGTGGATAAATTGTACTTAAAGATTCGTAATTTACCAGAAGTACAAACAAATCGTTTACCGCAAAACTATCTTAAACGCAAGCTAAAGAACTATTTAATTTGGAATCTCCAATGAATTTCTAACCCATTAATACTTAGAAATGATATCAATATTATATTTCAATCAAATGAATGATTAGAGAAGTCCAGAATAACAACTCCAAGATACTCGTAGTTAAAGTATATAAAAGTATACAAGTTTGTTGGGTAAATAAAAGCAATTTAAGAAGTTTCAAGTAATACTAACCATCAACCCAGCCTTCTTAATTAAAATGAAGAAAGTATTTCTTTGAATTTGACTTTTAATGAGGATATCCAAAAGTAGCATTTTTGTAAATTACAACTTACAGTTATTAAAAACATACAGACTGGATTTATAGCCGTTTGCGGTTTAAGATACGAATTTGTATTCCTAATGTAAGAATCTACTTATTGCTCATGTTAGGATCGAATAGTTTAAACACCAATGATCAATCGTAATTACTTTCTTATTTTAACCAGTCCATAAACTTTGAAACTCTACTTGCATTTTTATCATTTTAAAATTACATTTTAAATTACTTAATCGCTTTATCAAGACCCGCATCATTTGTTTACTTTCTTTAAAAGATGAACATGAATGCAGGGTGAGTTTAGAATGGTGTGGCCTTTAAATGTTTTTTTTTTTATTTATAAAATAAAACATTATTAACAGCTAATAAAACGTTCAAATAACAAAGTTAACAAGTGTTAAAAGCGGCGTTATTGTATTCCTCTCAATTAAACCTGGTGGAATTAACCTTGTTATTAGGCATACTTTTTTACTATACAGTATAGTGTGGTGCAATTAGCGAAAAAACTGCCTATCCTCAATATCCTAAGTGAAAGCTTAATTTTCACATCAAACTCTTAATTATAGTCCCCGAATTTTATGGTAAAAGGCTTCACAATTTTGAGTGTCAGGTTTGGTGTGGGGGGGGGGGGGGGTTAAGGTTAAAAATGTGGTAGTTGTTTTTTTTTGTTTTTATTAAATATCTCGAAAACCACGTGGCTTAGCGCAAAATACGTCAGAAAATGTCCCGGAATGGTTAAAAATTTTAAAATAATAAAGAGCTTAAAAAATTAAAGTCACCGTGCATTAAATTCATTTCAAAACATGATTCAGTGATACGCTACATTCTAAGAGGGACGACTAGGGGTCAGATTAGTTCCAAGCAAATCTTAAATCTAAGCATATCTTTATTTGAACATCAAATTAAAGATCTTTGCCAGTAAACTACAATGCCAAAAATTTGAGCTCAAAAGAAAAACAGAGTCTAAATTGTCAGCCGTTCAAAGATCTCTTTAATTTGCAAAGCAAATGTTATACGGTACTTCCTCAGAGGGACGCCAGCTGGAAGTTGGAAGAAAATCTTAAACTTAAAACTCGTGTAATAAAAGTATTTTCGTTTGCCAAATTGATGAAATTTAATATTTTAAATTTGAGTTGAAGTTCATTGGATATATTTACAACAACACACCACACAAAGATTCACTGCAC